TGTATTCATTAGGCACACTAATTAATCTAATTATTATTGTTGTTTATATTTCTGCAGTGTGTACTTTAGAATAAAATCGAAATTGATTTATTATTATTATATATATATATATAGATTTCGAATCGATTTTCCGTACTACTTTCATTAACGGAACTTTGCAAAACATATCATTTATTACTAGCTTTTATAATTTTGCACATTTTAATACTGTATATTTTCCAAATTCAAACCTCAAAAGTGTATGTAATTTAACAATAAAATCGATTTGTTATTAATTAAAAAATTATTTTATATATACGTACGAAGAGAAAGAAATAGGAGGAAATTCGAAATTGCAAAAAATCCGAGCAATAATAATTATACAAAAAGAAATCTGAATAAACAAAATGAAATTATTTTACACTTCATTTTCGAGGATTTTCGTATTTAGAAACTCTGTATTTTATACAAAAAAAAAACTGTTATAAATTTTTCAACCGACTAATATAATTTTTCTTCCTCAAATAAATATGAAAAAAATACAAATGTGTGACATGACTGGACGCGTCACAAATAAAGTTAGCTTGAAGTTGCATCAATACCGACACGCTTTGCGTTTAAATTCTCTTACATCACGAACCGATGGTTAAAAAATAGAAAATTACATTTTTCCTAGATTGATTCAATATCGTGCGTGAGCAGTTATTTATATCTCATCTTGCGCGTTAATCTCTTATACGTACGAAACGCGGATGCTAAAACTGTCAGACGAAATTCTGAATTACGACGCGCTAACATCGTACATACATATTTCTAGTGCCAAAAATTGACACGCTTACCTCATTTGCAACATTTGCACTTATCTATTTGCACACACGCCTACACATATGACGTACGCACGTCGTAGAAAAATATTTTATATTTATGTTGAAAATCTGTCCTCGTTAAAATCTTTGTGTTGAATTTTTAACATATCCGAATGTTAACTTGATATAACGCTGCCGTCATTTGAATATTTCGTGTTGCACTGACATGTCTTCGTGTTAAAATAACACATTTTCCGTTTATGAAAAAAAAAATGAAATGAAAAAAAGACATAGAAACAACGTGTATTGCAATAAATTTTTGAATATAAATCAACAAGACTTATTAATTAAATATATTTTAAATATATACTGAAAGAATATATCTCTATATACACAATTTGCTTAGAAATTCTGTCAATTGTACATTTCACGTTAATTATCTACATAATATTTTGTGTTACACTTCCTGACATATCGCACATTATATGATCTTATATGAAATTAATACAAAAACTTTAAATGGACAAAGATTTCGAGCACGTGAAATGTATTCGATTTAACAGAAAATTTCCAACTATGAATATAACGCATAAATTAAAACCTTGCAGCATTCGTTGGACAGAAGACACCCGGTATAGGAAGATGTAATACCGTATGAGTGAAAAATAGAGACAGAAAGAGACGGAGAGACAAAGAGAAAGAGAGATAGATGGGAGGAGGGAGAGGGAGAGGGAGAGAGAGAGAGAGAGAGAGAGACGCGCGTCATCACGGTTGAAGAAACACGGATTCTGGCCTCTCTCTGTTCGTCGAAATCTCCTTCGCGCTCTCTCGGCGCGATTAGACAGTCTGGTGCACTCGTTGCGCATTTGCAACGTGCGCGCGCGCGCGCGCGCGCGTGTGTGTGTGTGTGTGTGGGTCTTGCATTCCAGGAAACATCGCGGTCACTTCGCTCTGTCTCTCGCGTTGCACGGCGCGGCGTAACGAAAAGCGCGCGCCGCGACAACGACGCGTCAGCAGCACAGCCAGCAGCGGCGCGGGTCCTGCACTCCGTGCGGACGTTGCGTCAGTTCTCGAATCCGAAATGGAGAAACACGATCTCGTATTTCGCTCGCCGGCCACCGTCCCAACTTCCACAACTGCTGGCTCAAATGAAACCTTCGCTGGAAGATGCAGCAAGCATCGCGGGATGCCAAAGTTGAAATTAAAAGATAATAATAATAATTGTAGGGGGTTAATTAAAATCCAAAGCGATGGAAAGTTTTCGAATGGAAATGTTCAATATAACTTTTGTTCTCCTGGAGGATCTCTAGGGGGATTGTTTCTGTTAATTTCACTTCTTAATTCTAATTCGATTTTTTTCTTACGTTTAAATTATTTTTAGTTTTTTTTTTCTTTTTTTCATTTCGTTATACTTTGACCCTTTTTTTTTAAGAACTCCTCTCGCTGATTCTGTCCTAATTAGTTAAGTGTATTTTATGTTGCCATTACTTCTCTCACATTTTTTTACGATTTCTTTGAAGTGCAGTTTATCAAGATACAAGTGAAGAATTAAACACACTTTCAGAATCAACGTCATTTTTATCGAAATTGAGATATTACATTGATATTTTAGATATCAAAAGAGCAATGATTGACGCAATCCCTATATATATATATATGTATATATATATATTATAAAAAAGACTTATTATTTTTTTAATTTCCAATTGTGTCAAAATGTAAATCATCCATTTCTCTGTGGTTTCAAAGCAAACAACGTCTTATATTAACGTGTGCAATTAGTAAGTAATGCATTAAATTTAAGTCAAATTTAATACATTTTCTTGAGTTTTTAAAAGTGGTGATTTATTATATAAAAATGATTAAAAATAATTCAAATTAGGTATAATTTTATTTATAAATTGAATAGTGTAAAGTTCGATTCAGAATCGGGGGAGACACAATTTTCTTCAAAAATTATGTTAATTAAACATTCCTAGATACTAGATTATGA